GCCAGGACAAAGGTGGTGACCCTTCCCAGGGAGTCCTGGAGCCCAAGCCAAGAAGTAGGTCCATTACATGTCACCAGACGAGCGTTTCCGGATCCTTCCACGTGGGCCAGCCGTGGGCCGCAGAGCCCAGCCCCCGCCCTCGTGGGAGAAATGGCCGGTAAACAACCAAGCAAAGAATTGAGTGAAGATAAGTCAGAAGTAGTGCGTCCTACGAAGATGCAACACTCGGGGGTCTGGAGGGGCCCCTGGCGGGGCTGATGAGGGCGTCCTGCCCCACCCTGACAGCCTGGCTGGTGAGTCAGCCTTCTCGGGCCTGTCCCCACATCTGTCAGAGGCCCGACGAGGCCAAGCGGTGGCCTTCACTCCCGAAGTGGCAGGTGGGCTGGGAACCTGGCGCCCGGTTAGGCCCAGGGACAGCCGTCCTCTGGGGCTGTGCCTGCTCCCTGAGAACATGGTGTCACAGCAGCGCTGCCTGTCACCCCAGGACTCGCCCACCCCATAATCTGGCAGGCGGTAATTGCTGGTGTCTTTTCAGATCATTCTGGGCAAGGTGACAAGCTGTCCGCCAGAGGGACTGCTGATCACACACCCTGCTTGTGCGCCGGCACCAGGCCGACCGGGCAGCCAGGCAGCCGAGCAGGGGCAGCGGCTGCTCATCTGCATGTAATTCCAGGGCAGCGTCCTCCTGGCGAAAGACGTGCAGTTTCCGGCCCAGCAGGGACGCAGGCTCCTCATGGAGACCAGCCCAGGGGCCTGGGCTGCAGGCAGCTCAGCAAAGACAGCCCCTCGGGCAGCAGAAGGCTCAGGCCCGGGGATGGTGGGCTCCGTCCACCCGTCATTGAGACCAGCAGCTGAGTCGGTGGCACCCCGCCATGCCCGTTCTTGGAAAGGCCTCCTGCCCGAGTGCTGCCCAGCAGCGGGCATGCATCTCAGCAGACTGCCAGGTGCCCTCAGTGCCTGCCAGCCACCTGGGATGTGGGGCGGGAAGGCGGAGTCCGAGAGGAGCCCGGGGCCCGGCTGCAAATCGGTCATGGGCCTGCCGTGGTGACTCCCTCCGCTGCTAATAAAGTTGCATAAATATTTGATACCTAATTATTAAATATTTAAAAATGTAAAGCTGAAACGGTTAAGGAGTTACAAGGCATGAATAATTCAACCCTGGATGTGTGGCGGCGTGGCCCAGCTTTGGAGCCAGCAGACCCTGACGTGGGCCTGGAGGCCCCGGAACACTGCCTCGGACACGGGCTTTGTGCCTCCCCACACGTGGGTGCCTCAGCTCTCGTCTGGGCCCGCGGGAGAGACGAAGGCTCTGCAGCCACCCCGGGACTGCTGAGCAGAGGCGGGTCCCCTCCTGGCCTTTGTCCGGCTGCAGGACCACCTCAGAACATGCCGACTTCGTTCCTGGGCGCCCTCCAGGTGTGTGGGGGCACACTTTGCTCCCCATCTCCTCCAGGCCCAGCGCCTCATGTGGAGCGGCTGCTCCCGTGTGGCCTCACCGTCCAGTCTCATGTCTGAAGTTCCCTCCAGTGACAGCGTCCCCATGGTACGTCTCCTGCAGACCTCTGGACACCGGGCAGGTGACCGCCAGCCTGCCACTCCCGGCTGCTCACAGCAGATGCCAGGCCGTCCCCAGGCCGTCCCCAGAGCTCAGCCCACAGCCTGGCGCTGGCTCCCATGTCACCTCACTCCGTTGTCATCCCCATATCGCGCTCCGGTCTTGCTCCAGTTTGCCCTCCGGGCCTCCGGAAGCCACGAGCTCTGTGGCCGAGTGGCCTAGTCCCTGTGGCTGGACTTTGGAAACGAGTCCCACTGCTGAGAGGCGGCTGTTCCACCACTGGTGTCCTGGTGGAGCCACGCTGTGTGCCACGGGCCGCGTGTCGATGGAGAGCGTCGCCTGCTTCCACACTCTGCCTCCTTAGGGACACCGAGGGGACTGGCCATGGAGAACCTCGGAGAGGCGGCCCTGCCACTGGCAAGGTCAGACCTGAGGGCACCGCCTCCCTCTGCCGTGAGGACCCTCCCAGGCTGCAGAGAAGAGAGAGGGCAGAGGGTGCGGGGCCAGAGGCCCACAGACAGCCGTCCTGGCCTGGAGCAGAGCTGGGAGGCACTTGTCCAGCTCCTGGGAAAGTGTAGAATGCACACCCCCTCCCGCCAGGGCAGCCTGGACCCCGCCTCCTGCGCCACCCTGGGCCTTCCAGCCGCGGCCCCGAGAGCACCCCGTGTGCCAGGCTGAGAAATAGCCGCCCGACTGCGCCTGGGCCCCGAGGGCTGCGGCTAATGGCGAGGTCGCTCGGCATCGGCCGAGGGCTTCCATTCACTTTGCAGGAAGGAAATGACATCCTGAGTCTCCACAGAGAGCTTTCAGAGCCACTTCCAGTCCTGCGCAGCCTGCTCTGGGGCCACGAGGGCCTGGAGGCCTGGGAGGCCTGGCCTCCCCCAGCGGCTGGGCTGCCCTCACCCCTGCAGCTACCCTTCTGGTGGCTGCGCCCGCCCAGTCGGGAAGGGGGTGGGGAGGGGGCATCGCCTCCCACGTTGGCATGGACTGAAGGCCCAGGAGACTGGCTGGACGGCCAGCACCGCCCCACTGCACACCGAGCTCACAGGGCACGAGCAGAAGGGAGACGTCTGCGTCTGGCCGTGGGCACGCTCACTGGCACCCACACGTGCGCCTCGCCACCCTCGCCCCGCTCGTCGCTCTGGCGCTGCAGGGCCCGCTGCACCCTGTTCCACGGCGGGGAGGGGCTGCATTCCCGCTAGCTGGCGGGGTTCTGTCTCCGCCCCTCAAACCGCCCCTCTCTTCCAAGTCCTGGCTCTGCCTGTCTGACTCCTGGCGCGTCTTCGGGCGAGGCTGCCCCACCCCGGCACAGCAGTGGGGTTGTCCTCTTCCTGGGCCGTGTCCCCCGCTTCATCTTTCTGTCCCCTACTTCCCGTCCCCCGGGACCCATTCCCCTGCGGCCCCTGCTCTGCTGGAGACGTGCACAGCCTGGGCCACACGCCAGCGCTCACCCCAGACCCCCCATCCCCTCGGAGCCCGTGCCTGTCTCCTGGGTCTGCTTCCGGAACCCTCCTTCCCCTGGCCGCGTCTGGTTGGGCGGGCATGTCCTGCAGGAGCCGGCGGGTGGGCCGTCCTCAAGACCCTGCGTAGGAGAACCCTCGTCCACTCGCGGACAGTTGGCTGGACCGAGGCTAACGTGCAGGGGCAGCTCGATCCCTCCAGAGCTCCCAGGCTGCTGCTGTTCGCTGTCTTCTGTTCCGCCGGGTGGGCCTGGGGATCACCGTCCATGTGGGTCCCGGCTCTTTGGGGGTGTTCTGTCCGTCCACAGAGCTCTGGGCACCGTCTGTCTCCACTTCTGGTCCTGTTCATGTGGGGATCCCTCGGAACTGCTCCTCCTGTGCTCTGTGACCCCTTTGTGTGCAGCCCTGTTTGGGGGCCCAGGTCTCCTCCACTCGCTGCCCTCTGTCTTGTGTTGCCCGAGGCGAGCAGGGCGCTGCTGGGCGGCTTCCTGCCTCTTTGGAGTTTGTCTGTCCCTCCTTCGTCCTGGACACTCGGCTCCGCGTCCAGTGATGTTAGAAGTTGGTGGTCCTCTTGTTTTGACGTCGTCTTTTCCTCCAGGTGGCTTTGTCTGGGGTTAGCTCCCGTGTTAGGCGATTTCTCAGTGCCTGCGACCCCTCACGCTGGCTTCTGTGGGAGGCGGGCACTGCCCTCCACCGGCTGCTCCTGGGTGGGTGGGAGCTGGTTCTGGGGCCTAGGGTTGTGGGTCGCACCTCTGGGGCAGGTCTGCAGGACAGGAGGGTGGAGAGCCATCCAGCGGAAGGGGTGGGCAACAGGGACCGTAGTTGGCAGCCTTGGCCCGCGCCACCTGGCACATCACCCCTGTCTGACAGTGCAGTGGGTGACCGAGCACAGAGGGAACCCACATGGGGCCCCGAGTCAGCCAAGCAGGCGCTGCAGCTGCCCACCCTGGCGGCTGCTGCCCCCCCTCGCCGCCGACGGGTGGAGCGGGACAAACACCGGCTCCGTCCGCCGCATCTCGGGAAGCTGTGTGCTGGTTTTGACCGAACGGACCGCAGGGCTCTCCTGGCCGTGCTCCAGGGTTTGTGGAGAGACGGCCCAGTGCTGCGGCTCCGGGCCTGGCCACGCCTCCCCGAGCCAACAGTGCCGACGCTGTGCGCAGGAGCGCTGGGCACCGCCTCACAGCACGCAGTCTCCCCAGCATCTCAAGGCAGAAGGCCCGGCTTTTATGTATTTAGCCCAAACCTCATGTGAATTGTCCACTGTTTATGCAGGGATTGAGCTACAAGCTAACGGGGGTCAGAGCACCCACGGCTGGGCCCGCCTTGGGGCCGTGGTGTGAGGGCTGCGCCATGTCATGTGTGACCCCCTCCTGGGTCCTGGTGCCGGGCTCCCCAGGAGTGCCCATGGCCACACCGCCCCTCGGGGTTGAGGGCCGAGCCCGGCTGCCCCTGGGAGCCCGAAGCGCGGACCAGGCAGCGCTCGCCCCTGTGCAGCGGCTGCACCTTCTCCAAGGTCGGGCTGCAGCTGTGGCCAAAGTTTAGTTTTCCCATCGGACACCTGGGGTCCATCCGAGGCCACACAGCCTGGGACAGGGCCAGCCCTGCTGGGGAGCGTGGCGCTGGGTCCTGGCTGCAGTGCTGGCCCTGTGCTCGGTGCCCTCTTTCGAGCAGCCCTGCCTGGTTGCGGTGCAGGGCAGGTCCACACCTCGTCACCCCGGCCCCTTGCACCCTAACTTGGGCCCATCCTCAGTGCTGGCCGAGAGCTGACCCTTTTGGAAGGAACCAGGCCAGGTGTGGGGCCGGTGCTCAGAACCGGGAAGGTGCAGGCCGTCAGAGTTCTCTGTAGTTGCTGCTTTCCACAGGGCACCAGGCCACGAGCAGCCAGGCCGGGGGTCGCCTGGGCTCTCCACTGGTCGAAGCACTCGGGGAAGGGAGCTAAGGGTGGCAGGCGGCACTCCCCCTCACACTGCCCCGTCTCTCCGCAGAGCTGAAGAAGCAGGTGGAGAGCGCCGAGCTGAAGAACCAGCGGCTGAAGGAGGTGTTCCAGACCAAGGTCCAGGAGTTCCGCAAGGTGTGCTACACGCTCACGGGCTACCAGGTGGACATCACCAGGGAGAGCCAGTACCGGCTGACGTCCATGTACGCCGAGCACAAGGACGACTGCCTGGTCTTCAAGGTGGGCCCACCGGAGCGGGGGGTATGGGGGCCTGTGGCCCAGGGCGGGGAGTCCGCTCGGCCCTGGTGCCTGGAGACCTGCGCCCTCCCTGCCGTGTCCGCTGCAGGCCCAGGGCGGGGAGTCCACTCGGCCCTGGTGCCTGGAGACCTGCGCCCTCCCTGTCGTGTCAGCTGCAGGCCCGGGGCGGAGACTCCCCTCAGCCCTGGTGCCTGGAGACCTGCGCCCTCCCTGTCGTGTCAGCTGCAGGCCCGGGGCGGGGACTCCCCTCGGCCCTGGTGCCTGGAGACCTGCGCCCTCCCTGCCGTGTCCGCTGCAGGCCCAGGGCGGGGAGTCCACTCGGCCCTGGTGCCTGGAGACCTGCGCCCTCCCTGCCGTGTCCGCTGCAGGCCCAGGGCGGGGAGTCCGCTCGGCCCTGGTGCCTGGAGACCTGCGCCCTCCCTGCCGTGTCCACTGCAGGCCCAGGGCGGGGAGTCCGCTCGGCCCTGGTGCCTGGAGACCTGTGCCCTCACTACCGTGTCCGCTGCAGGCCCAGGGCGGGGAGTCCGCTCGGCCCTGGTGCCTGGAGACCTGTGCCCTCCCTGCCGTGTCCGCTGCAGGGCCCGGGGCGGCCGTCTGCAGAGCAGCTGAGCAGCTCCCTGGAGGCAGGACAGGACCACTCTGAGCTGGTCCTGCAGTGACACCTCCCACCTGTGACTGCGTCGGTGACTGGGGAATGTTGTGGGATGTCCAGTGTTGGGCTCGGGAGGTGTCCTTGGTGCTGCCAAGATGTGCAGCTGGACCTTTGGGACCCAGGCTGGCAGGAGGCACAAACCACTGGACCTGTCGGCACCTCGCTGTACGTCTGTGCCTGTGTCCGTGCTGGACAGCAGCTGCCATCAGTGCCCTGGGGAGGACAGAGCCCGGGGGAGCTGGGCAGTCCCGGGAAGGTCGGGGGCTGGGCCATCACCAGACTGTCCACCCTGCTTCCTGCCCTGGGGGGTCTTCGTGGAAGAAGGGCGGTAGGCGCTGTGTGGCCGAGGGCCCCACCTGGACTGGGCCCTGGTGGCCCTGTGCGGGCTGTTCCAGCCGCAGGTGGGCCGTGTGGGGCTGAGGAGCAGAGAGAGAGTCCTGGCGTCCTGAGGCCTTCCCAGTGCCTGGCCCTCCTGCAGGGTGTCGAAGGAGCGGGGCTGGCACACTGTGGGTCCTGGGAGCCCGCCTGCAGCCTCCCTCCTCTGCGGGCAGAGCGCTGGCTCTGGAAATGGCCAGGCATGGCCCTGCCAGCCTGCAGGTCCGGGGTCTCTGCCCGGAACCCCAGGGCCTTGCGACGGTGTGTGTGCATCGCTCACTCCATCCAAGGCCCCTCAGAGCCTGGCCCTGGGAGCAGATCCCCTCTGCAGACCCCTAGACAAACCTCCTGCTGGCTGGGTGTCCAGGGGACCCATTAGGAGATTTCTGACCAGAGACCCGAGCAGAGGGTGTCAGCGATTGGCCTGCCTCTCACTGCTCCCGAGGCCCAGCTGCTGCCTCGTCTGCTCGCGGCCCGACCTGCACGGTGCTTAGTGAGGGCTCGGGACGGGACAGATGGGCCAACGAGGGGAGATGAACAGAGGCCCCTGGAAGGCCGACCAAGGGCTGAGGCGAGGTGGCTCGGGTCCCACCTCCTGCAGTCCCACCTCCGCCTGCAGATGGACTCTGCCTTCCAGGGGCCCAGGCCAGCGGCCCTGCCCCAGCACTGCCCAGAGGGCCCGAGGGGCGTGTCGTCCGCACCGCTCCTGGCTCAGCAGTGCGCCTGGGCCGGTCACCTGCTCACGGGCCCAGTGCCCGCCTGGAACGAGGAGCGGTCGGTCTAGACACCCTGCGGGTTGCCGGCCCTCGCGTGAGCCGGGCCTGAGGGGCGCCCCAGCAGCGAGCAGCTGAGGCCAGGAAACGTGCAGGGAGTGGCCCGCAAGCCCAGGCTGCGCCACAGCCCCACCGCAGAGGCAGCCGCGTGGCTGGGGCGGGAGTGCAGTTTATTTTGTTTTCCCAAAGGTGATTTTTCAGGCAGGAAGGGCTGGCGTCAGAGTTAGAAATAGCTGCGTGCGGTTCCACTTGAGCGGCTCTGCCGATGCGCGCCGGGTAACAGAGCTTCGCCCAGCCCGCAGGCTCCGCCAGGACGGACTCCGGTCTGGTCCCATTGCCGCCCCCGCCTGGCCTGCGCCCGCCCCCCTGCCTCCAGCTCCGCACTCTGCAGGGGGTGGTCCTGCTGGCAGCTCGGTTGCCTGCTGAGCGGGAGGCCGTGCCCAGGGCCTCCTCTCACGGAGGTTCTCAGGGGACTGTCCTTTCCTCCCTCTCCCCTGGGAAGAGAGCTCCCTGCAGGAAGAAGAAATGGCCTCTCTCAGTCCCGAGCCCAAAGTACTATCAGTACAGATGGGTCTCCGTGCTGGTGGTCTCCCCAGCATGTCCAGGTGCCCTCCTGCGGGCACCGCCATCCCGGTGCCACAGACGTGAGCCTGGAGAGGCCAGGACGCTGCCCAAGACTATGGTCCAGGAACTCAGAGCTGGGGTCCGAGCAGGGCAGGCCAGTGCCTGTGCCTGCTCACCCCGGGGGGCAGCTGGTCCTGGGCCTCCAGGAGGGTGACCCTGGTGGGCGGCTGCTGCTGTGAAGTCTGCATCCCCCTCTGTGCTGTGCACCTGCCCCTGGGCTCTGATTGCCACGCGCTGGCACCCTACAGAGCGCCCAGCCCCCACCTCATGCCCTCCCACCCCTGCCCCGACTGTCAGGGCCCCGCAGGCTTGCCTTCTCCAGCGTCCCGCGGCCGTCACCGTAGCACACAGCCTGGTCAGACCGGCTCCTGTTACCTCCTGACCTGCAGTGTTTTCATGGCTGACAGCTCGTTCTTTTCACTGCTGCATCATATTCCACCTGCTGGGCCAGTTCACCATCACCTGCTGGAGGGAGTCTGGGTCGCTTCCAAGTTTTTTGAGATTATGAATAAAGCTGCTGTGAACGGCTTTAATTTTTTTTCTTTTTTTTAATTTTTTTTTTTTTATTGATTTTAGAGAGAGAGGAAGTGAGAGAGAGAGGTGGAAACATCGCTAGAGAGAACATTGATTGGCCGCCTCCTGCACGCCCCCCACTGGGGATGGGACCCACACTCTGGACATGTGTCCTGACCAGGAATCGAACCAGCGACCTCTTGGTGCAGGGTTGACACTCAACCACTGAGCCACACTGGCCAGACTAAATTTTTTTCTTCATTGATTTTAGAGACAGAGGAAGGCAGAGGAAGAGATAGAAACATGGATGAGAGAGAACATCAATTGGCTGCCTCCTGCATGGCCCCCACTAGGGATCAGGCCCACAATCTGGGCGTGTGTCCTGACCAGGAATCGAACCAGCGACCTCTTGGTGCAGGGTCGACGCTCAGCAGCAAGACCGTCGGCCTGCAGACCAAAGAGTCTTGGGTTCAATTCCTGGTCAAGGGCATGTGCCTGGGTTGCAGGTTCAATCCCCAACCCGTCGGGGTCGTGCTGGGGGCAACCAATTGATGTGTCTCTCTCACATCGATGTTTCTCTCTCTCCCTTCCTCCCACTGTGTCTAGAAATCAATGGGAAGATATTCTTGGGTGAGGACTAACAAAACCAAACGACCTCTCTGTCCATTTAGCCACAGGCCATACAGCAGCCAGCAGGAAGCAGGGTCCTGGTTCCGCCCCCAGCCCACTGTCCTATCTTCCATTTCCTGTGTCCAGACCCACCGTCCACCTCCCTGTGTCCTTGTGGCCGCCCCTCCCCGCCTCGCCATGACGGTGGTCCCGCTGAGGGCCGGGCTGCCCCGAGCACCTGGGCAAGAAGCGGGTCTAGTTTGGGGTGTGTCCTGGGCAGTCCCTGGAGTGGGGCTCAAGTCAGTTGCTGGAACTCCGAGTTGGAGTGTTTGAGGACTAGGGAAAGGGGTTCCTTCTCTCTCGTTTTGAAAGCAGGAGAAATACTGGCCAGGAGAGCACTCAGACTTTCCTGTGTGGGCCAGGCCTCTGCCCAGCCTGCCGCCTGGGAGCCCAGCTGCTAGCCACCGGCCCCTGGGCTGAGGCTGAGCCAGGGTCTGTTCTCCAGGGTAGTCCCCAAGGGAGGGCTCCCAGACCTAGCTCTTGGGGCGTCAGCCGTGCTGTTCCCCCGGAAGAAGCTCCAGAACAAGCCGTCCGGGTGCAGCCTCTGGTCCTCACAGCCCAGCGCGGCACGAAGCCCCAGCAGTCTCTCACCCACCAGGCAGCGGGAGGCCTCCAGGGCACACGGCCCTCCTGGCCCCTCACCCCTGCTCTGCAGGCCCCTGGCCACTCCTGCAGGCTGTGTGGCAGCTGAAGGCCTGGCTGAGGGCAGAAGGTGCCGAGCCCTCCTGAGGGTGCCCAGTCTCCCGTAACAGTGGGATCCAGACAGACGCTTGAATTGCAGTTTGCTGCTGTGGGTCCCCGATGCCACTTGGAGTCACTTTGAACGCACAGTGACCTCAGAACCCCTGAGCAGGCCTGGAGTGCATGACTCGGGGTGCTCCAGCAGCCGCACGGCAGGCCACAGCCGGCCCCTCCCGCCACACGCTTGCCTCCGGGTGCTGGGCCCCTGTGCGGGAGGTGGGCCTGGAGGTAGGGCTGGGCAGCAGGACACGGATAAGCCCATGGAGCTTGGGATGAAGCCCACACAGATGTGTGAAGGGCCACGGCCTGGCGCAGTGAGCGCTGCCTTCCGATGGCTGGAAGGAGGCGGTCAGGATGAGGCTGGAGAAGTGGGCCGGCTCCTCCAGCAGGTGCGGGCTGAGCCCCGGGGGTCTCAGGGTGTGTGGTCTGTGCAAAGGCTGGAGATGGGCAGGGCCTGGCCTTCCTGGGGGGTGGGTGCCAGGGGATCAGACCGGTGCTGCCACGGGATCCCACGGCCTCCGACACGTGGGGCTGCATCGCCCTCCGGGCTGCCAGCACCCACCAGACTCAGCCCGCAGCTCCGGCGGCTTCTGAGTTTGCTATCGTATAATCAGCGTGGAGCAAGCCTGAGTCAC